AAGGGTTCTTCCAATGAGACCTGTGATGCAGAAGAATACTGGTCCTTCCAAGTGAGGCCAATTTTAGATTTGAGGGCATTTTGGTCTCTGAAGTGTTTTTTGCTCTCTTTTTTGTCCATACAGGAATGAGGTTTTAATTTTGTAAAGTGTAAAGCCCATGGTCTTACTTTTGTCATTATTTCATTTATATAGTTTATACATTTATAATTTATAATTATAGTTTAACTAATATTCATTAATATTACGGAGTAGTTGAACTTTTTCTATTTGTTACACTATCATTAATATTAGTTACATTTATCCTCCTTACACACTCACACTCCCATTAATTAGTATTATACATTGATACATTTATCCTATTATTTACACTTGTCATTAATATTATTAGTTAAACTTTCTCATTTTGTCACCTTTAATATTTGTTACATTCTTAGTTCTTAGGTATTAATTATACTATTAAAGTAGTTGCATTTTTAGTTAATTATACTATACTTGTCACATTATCATATTAATTAACCATATTTGTTACATACTAATATTAATCAAATAAAAGTTGTTAGCTTAAAATATTAAAGTAGTAGCATTTTAGTTAATTTTACTATACTTGTTTCATTATCATATTAATTACATTCTCATTTCTTAGATATTAATATTAATCATATTAAAGTTCTTATATTAAACTATTAAAGTAGTTGCATTTTAATAAATTTTACTATACTCTCTTCCCAAAAAATAGTAATTTTACTATACTTGTTAGATCAAACTATTAAAATATTTGGAATTTATTTGTACTCACAATTCAATATTTTATACACTTGTAGAATAGTCTCATTTTAATATAAAAGTCACATTTCTATTAAATTATCACATTACTTACGTTTAAATATAAAAGTCACATTTTTTATTTTGAAGTCACATTTTAATTGTACTCACAAATAAGTATTGTTACAATTTGCTTACATTTTTTTATTACTTGCATTGTGTTTGTACTCATGTTAACATATTTGTTATAATTTAATATTTGTTATATTTTAAGATGGAACGAGGTAGACATTTTGTGGATATGAGTAACCTCCAACGCAATCGAAAGAAGGAGATTGGGAAGAACCATCATAATTCGCGCAAAGGAAAAGGACATATTGAGTTTTCTTCTCAAAGTCGAGACAGGGCCAGTCCTGGGGCATGGACAGGAGGGGCATGCGCCCAGGGCCCTTTGCTCCAGTAGGGCCCATAAATTTCTTAAACATATATGTGTGTACATAAATATTTTAATTATATACATCCTAAATCCATAAAAAATAAAAAATAAAATCAAACTTATATTTTTAGATACTTCTAATTTGTTATTTACCATCTACACGATACAAGTCTATAATTAGAAACATTTACATTAGAATTTGTTGGGAACATATTTCACCATTTCTTTTGAATCATTACGGATTATTACATTAAATTTAATCTTTTAGTGACTTAGTGTACATGTCTTATGTATATCCAGAATTCATTGATGTATTTCACAAATTTCCTCCAATGCTCTCTTTAGTGAAAGATTGAACTTTAGTGTCCCTAATATAGAAACTTAGAATTTGTTTTTGTCTAGTGAAAATGTGATTTAAAATATGAAATAATTACTCCTTATACAAGATATAACTTTCACAACTTTCTTTAATTCAAAATTTTTATTGTGCCTAATATATAGTTGCAATACTTGTTTCACTCGGCTGTGAGGTACATTGTATCATCGAATATCACTTATCAATAGATTCAATACCCTCTATATATATTTTCTAACCACATGCTTTGTTGGTTTTTTTTTGATGTGTTATACTAGTATTTTGACGGTAATATTGTATAATTTTAAATTATACTAGTAGATTTTTATAGCAAAAAGAACATTATAAACATTCTCGCGTTATCCCTGAGGCCCGGCCTATTTGTATTGTCCCGAGCCCATAAAATGTCAGGACCGGGCTTGGACCCAGTCCATTTGTATTGTCCCGGGCCCATAAAATGTTAGGACCGGGCCTGAGTCGAGATGATTTTGAAACGATGTACGACTGGAGAGATGCGATGTCCGACGCGCAACTACAACAACTCTTGGCCCAATGGGGTGGGCGGTTTACCAACGACTAGACACTCCCGATATTGAGGAAGAGCTCGAGGGTGAGGATGCCGAGGATGATGATCCGGCAACGGTCGAGGACGAACAAGACGACTCTCAAACCCCGAACGATGACACCCCCGACGAGGACGAGCCTCATTCATCCCATACCGGTAAGAGAAATGAATCCCTCCGTATGAAAACTAATTTCAAAAAGTGGAAGGAAACAAATGGAGACAAGTGGTGGACAACTTGCAACCATGGTAGAAAAAACATAAGCTTGAGGATTTCACAAGGTGATAGAGTATATGGGCTTAGACCCCATGATCCACATACTCAGGAGGTCAAAGACACCAGGTAGACGTCCACGTTGCAGCCTTCGGCCAGGTGGATTCCGCATCGGAAAAGCTGACTGGAGTGCTATCTGAAGACAAAAGCGGGTCACCATCGGCCGTGGACCGCATCGGCCAGGGGTCTTCCCCTGACTGATTGTATTTTACTATCTTTTTTACTAAGTATTGTACTCAACCCATTAGAGGCCTTATTCCGCCCAAAGAAGGCATGATTATTGTAATGGCCTCCTAAGCTCAAGGCTAGGAGCCCAAATCCACATTTACTCGTATAAATAACCCCCAAGGGGGTAGTTATAGGGAGTTGAAAAAAATTAATTGCCCACTTTCTCTCTCTGGCTCTCACTTTTCTCTAGAATTAAACAATCTATCACAAGGATAAACGACGCTCATAGGCATGTCAAGGCTCATCACCTCGTGGAGCATGCGAAACTAAAAGACAAGGGGACACAAACACAAATATAGAGGTTTGCAAATGCCCTACCCTAGAGTAATTTCTCTTATGAGATGATTCCAAACATTTAACTGCGATGTCTGTTGAAAAAACAATTCTTTTTTTTCCTGAAAGTCTTGCTTTAAAAGCTTATGTTCAAGGTTCTTTGAGTCCCCAATTTCGAAACTATAATCACTGTTGAGGTTTATTCCTTCAACCCTTGGACCCAACACGTAAGCCCAAAGATTTCGAGTGGAGTGAGTATATGGATATCTAGCCCAACAACCTTCAGATGGATCAGGAAACAAGAGAAATAGCAGGCAATGTAAATAGGTATTATTAATTTCGTAATAACTCCCCTAAGTACAATCTACTTGCTAAAAAGGGCACGTCGGCCGTTCGTCTTTCAAGGCAGTTAGAAATGCCGCGAGTAAGAGTGCTAAAGCTAGAATGTTAAGAATAGAAAGTTGCCAACCCTTTACAATGAATTAAATGCTTCTATTTATACCCACCAATGGGCAGGTGGCTGTGCTGGCGTGGCAGCCTGTGGACCGCTGGTGCCCCAACTACCAAATCTTCAGCATTAAATGCACTTCCCGCCAGAATCTAGGTTTCCCGCCTAATCAGTGGGGACGTTCGTCCGCCCGGGAAGTGAGTTGGATCGCCCCAAGTGACCCCCAAGAGACACCGGCTGTTCGTCTCCTGGCCTTGGTAGATACTCACCACGTGGACTGGGTTTCCTCCGATGACTATAGGCTTACCATGGGGACGTTCGTCGTCGTCCCTAATGGCCCGCGTCCCTGCTCCTTGTCCCTGCATAGACGTTCGTCGGGATGAGCGGCTGGGCCTGAACTCTCAATACCAGACGTTCGTCCATCCTCAAGGAACATGGGCCTGTGGGCTGGCCTTGTGTTCTAACTGGACGTGCGTCTGGCAAGGTGGGGTTAGTGGGCCGGACGGGGGCTTGGGCCCTTAACCCAACAATCACAAAACAGTTACTCCATAAAAATGAAGTTATAAGGCAGTATGTTTTGCAAAGGATAGATTAAAATTGTTGTTTGTTAAAGGGAAAAGATATCAATACACGAAGTACTTTTTATGTTAACTTTAAGGTGCACATATGCCCGTAAGGTTTAGAAAGGTACAAAAATATCCTTAAGATTTATATTTAGTAGGAAATTACTCTTACTACCTTAAAAAAGAAAAAAAAATTATTGAATATATTGGGTTTTGAAAATGTAGACTAAAAAATTTAAAAATCCGTTTCGTTGATATTTTTAAATCAAAATTTAATTTAATATTATTAAGATTTAAAGAAACCATTGAATACGAAATGATTCTTTAATATTTCAATTTCTCCAAACATTTTTTAATACTGCGGAGCAAAAGATATAATTTACATGTTAAAGTTTTAAAATATTTCTCTTATGTTAACCATATTAAATTATAATAAAAATATTAAAAGAACCTTCCGAATATATTTTTATTAATTGAAGGACAAATTTGTTTTTAAGTATGAAATTTTGAACTTTAGAAACATATCTCTAGGTAGACCTAAGCATTTAGTTGCAACGGTCAACATTTCACATTTAACAACGCACATCTTTGACTGTTAATAATCTAACTTTTTAGCGGTCTTCAACCGGTCAGGGACCAGTGAATATTATGGTATAATGATTTGCAAAGATTTGCAAATATTATCTTTGTGAAAGATGAGATTTATGGTATAATGATTTGCAAAGATAAGAAAATAGCTTGGAATAGCAGGTCATCAACCGGTCAGGGACCAGTGAATGAAGATGAGGTGCAAAGGTTGGATTATTCATGAATAATCAAAAGGTGGGATTATTGAAAGAAGACCGCTAAAAAGTTGGATTATTAGTTTCATTTTCCCTATATTTTATTCTCTATTTGTAAAAAAAATTAAAAATCAGATTTTGAAAATTTGTAATAAGATGAATTGAACAATTTTTTTTTTAAAATATCTTTCATAAAATAATAGTGTAAAATATAGTCAAAGTAGAGCATGTGAATAATGCAAAATTCAACCTATTGCGATTAAAAAGAAATAGAGATATTATATAGGAAGGCTCAATTTCTATTTTCTAATGTCAATTATCACAAGAGGGCACAATTTATTGTCGGCAGAGTCGCGGAAGCATAGATAAGATAAATCTACAGCCGGAAAAGAAACGGCCAGGCGGGCACCTTCAAACTAATCCTCTGCTATTTCATAAAAAGAAAATGGTATTTACTCTTCATCTTATAGATCTTCCGCTGCGTTTAATTACTTCGGTAGAGTTTTCTTTTCCCAAGCGCTGAAACGCATATGCTTGTTCGCGAAGTAGAATCTGTGTTTCACGTTGATTATGCTGTTTATGTGTATGCTGATTTTTTGCCGTGGATGCACTTTTAATTGGAAGTGTAAAAATTTGAGCATGGTTGTTTATAGTTCAATAATCAACTTCAACATGGGTTATGAATTATGATTAGAATGCACCCAGTCTTTATATTAGCAAGTTAACATACTCTGTTTAGGTCTCAAGCTCTTCTTACATATCATATTCTTCTTTTTTGAAATTGATCATACGCTTTCTCGTTTCTCCAAGTCAATAAAATCATAACTTCACAAGTCTTTCAGCTTCCCTGTGGTAGCCTCCATACACAAACTTTACATATTTAAAATCAGCGTTAGTCGACAGATCAACATTGGCATGGATTCAAATCCCTCAAATCCTGTTTGGGGGATTTAACTTTCAAAACAGTAAGGACCTAAGAACCAAGGGTAGAGGAAAATGACATGTTTTCATTTAAGAGAAGTGATTCATTAGCTACATTAGTTATTTATGAGTGAGTACTCACTGAGTGTTCAGCACTCAGCATTATACCTTGTTGAATTTTATAGCTGCTCTGTCAGATTCAAGAAATCACATTACTCAGGTGAATACTTGGTGACTAGTGACTCAATGAGTGCATTGAGTGAGCAGATTCTAAGTAAAGATGTGTTTGTGGACATGGAGGAAGATGAATATAATGTTGATTTTGAACCAAATGATGATAACTTAGGATATACTCCGTAAAAAGTTATGATTGAGTAGATGGTAACATCTTCTTTCGATGCTTTATGAATGTTGCTAGTTATTGTGGCTAATATTATTACAATTAAATGGCATATACTACCTCCATCCATTGGACATTTCCAAGTTTGAGTTGGGTGTGAAATAAGATAAGTAAATATTGTATGGCTGAGGATTTTGTAGAGAGAGAAATATGCGGAAACTCAAATTAATTAGGACAATAAAAAGGAAAGTTGGTAACGTCCAATGGGACGGAGGGAGTATATTCAAAGTTTACTGCATAGCAATACAAGACAATATGACATACTAATCACGAATTGCTCTCGAGTAATCAGTCCTAATCACTATTCAGTAGATTACTACGCTCTGTCTTTTATTGAGTAATGACTTAATGACTGAGTTCTTTAGAGTGAAAACCAAATCCACATGCTGTAGCTGTCATTATTACGGAGTATTGTTTTTAAATGACGGCATCCTATTGGAGCTCTAGCCATTTTTTACATACGGAGTATTAAACAAGCTTTACATAAATGAGAAATTATAGGCCTTTTTTTACTCAACATTTTATACATAAATGTTTAATAACGAATCAGTGAGAGCTCCAGCTATATGGTGTATAACTATGTAATTTTGAACTCATTCATTTATTACATGACTAGTGAGAGCCAAAATTGTATATTGTATTAAATATCTTCAACGCTGGCATGCTTATATTTGTGCTTATTAATTTTTCACATTCTTTAGTTGACTTTTATTTTATTTTTCTTATTCAGATCAAGTAACACTTTCCTTCATGACAAATAATTGATATATCAGTTTGTGATTGCAAGATCATGACATTTTCAGTGGAAGGTTAGTGTTTTCCATATCTAGTGAGTTGTCACTACTGTTGAAAGGGATATTAATGTGCATGTTTTGCTTACTTGACTGTCTTGTAACCTGAGAAACAATGGGCATAGGAATGGATAACAATGGTATTGTAAAACTAGGAATCTTCTTTAATACACCTCAATGATAACTGCATATTTAGTGCTTTTTATTTTTTTTAATATAATTTGGAAATTGCTTTACAATGTGAATATATTACCAACTTTACATCTTGTATGTGCTATTAAACACATGAAGACGACTTTAACCTTGTTTGAATCACATGTATTCATGTACACATACTCGTTGTAGTTTTGAATTTAAAGTGCAATGTTAGTAACACATATTACTTTTTTGTTAGATTTGCGCAATAAAGCTGCTTGGATTCAGAGTAAGAAAGGGCGCAAGTTTGTATTGACTTCTGAAAAGGTCTATAGGTTTGAAGAATTGCTTCATGATGTTTGTCTAGTCCTTTTCCCTAAGCCAACTGATTATGATGCTCGGAGAGATTTGATCCGCGTTTTTAATGAAATCGTCTGGGAAATTTTCGGTAATTATAGAAGTGGGTCTTTTCAATTATGCACATTCTTAGGCTTTTTAGTGCTTTGAGTTTATAAATGCATAGGATGCTTGATCACTCGACATGAATTTTTTTAACAATAAATGTTGTACGGCTCAATTCCTTGTTTCAGAATGTTCTGCTGATGCTCCTACTGTCGTGGAGTTTGGATCTTTCACAATGGACTTATTTCACGCTAAAAGTGATCTTGATTTATCAGTTAATTTTGGTGATATCGACATCTCACGTGAGGAGAAGATTCATACCCTCCTGATGCTTGAAAAGAAGTTCTCATCACTTCAGTGTAACTTTCGAAGATAAGCGCTTTTATTGTTTATGCTGTGATGCTGTCTATGCTTAACAAAACTGTCTTATGCCTGCTTAATTAAGCTGTCTTGTCTGATCCAAACTTGTGGAGATCACCTAGTTACCAATATAATAAATTGCTGTCATGCCTAGTTTGTCAATTATATTTGTTGACAAAAGTATCTACTGAATACTTTTGGGGTACGAAAAAGGGTAAGGCTATGCCTGGCACGTACTGAAATACTTTTTTTAGAAAAATGATTTCAGTTCCAGTAGCACTTCAGTATGGCTAGGTAGTGGGCATAATCGAAGCATTGTAGTTTTGGAGTTTTTATAATGGTTTTGAGTTGATCCCGCTTATGCTATCTATGATGTGAATCCTCACAGTACGTCTATCGTCATCTATCTAATATCTGTTTCAGGTAGTGGATATGTTTATGGTGTTAATGCGATTATCACAGCTATCGTGCCTGTTATGAAGGTTATTGACAGTGGAACTGGAATCGAGTGTGATATATCAGTTGCAAACAAAGATGGGATTTTGAAATCTAAGATTATCTACTTTATTTCTCTAATGGATGAAAGGTTTCGCAAACTTTGCTTTTTGGTAACATTCCTGTCTTTTTGTATGCTTATTGATGCCCACTATCACATCTTCCACTTTATTTTTCCCTTCTTAAAACCATTGTATTGCATTACTTTAATACATTTGTAGTTAGACATGAATACCTTGTTCCCATAATCCCCAAACTAAAATAAGTAAGTTTTAGTTGTAACTCAAATGACATTGCATAAAGCAATTAAAGCACAATTTATTCGTTTGAAAACAACAATGAGGGTTAGGTGTGCCTCTTAGTTCGAAAATATTGTTAAAAAAATTTCTTCATTGTGCTTTAAAATGGCATTGCATATTGTTTTACCTTCGGTAATATCAGATTTTTTGTAGTAGTTTTCATGATAGTTTTCTTTACAGATGAAAGCATGGGCCAAAGCACATAACATTAACAGTGCAAAGGACAGAACTTTGAACTCGTTAACTATAATACTTCTGGTGGCATTTCACTTGCAGGTGGGGCTGTAGTTCAAATTGTTTGACATCAATTCTCACTACTATGTTTTTCATTCTAAGGTAGTAAGGTGTTCCACACGAATGATAAACCTAACCAAGAAAGGCTTAAATGTTAGAGACTAGAAAGACGGTTGTATGATTTTCTAATTCCTCACAGTAACTGGCATGGTAATAGAAAACACGCATCTTATGCTACCCAAAGGCCATAGGCTAGTCCTAATTCATTTAGAGATGTTGAATTTACTTTTTGGTGCTGTTGTGGCTCTACGACTCTACGTGATTTCTTAACACCTAGTCTTGTAGGTCTAATTAGAAACCCAAGCTTTTCGAATAAGAGAGTTTGTCCTTGTTAAAAATTAAAAGATGGTAGTGCAATTTCTTTATGAGTTCTTATTTCATGATCCTTTTTCAAATTTATTCATGTCTTATTATTATATTTTTAAATATAGTTTTTGTACTGTATACTGAAGAGACTTCATCCTTTTTTGCAATCGCATGGAAATGTTTCTTTCACTTATAAAATCACTTTGTAACAAATTTTTACATATCCTTTTTGCTAAATTGAATAATGATTTTAGTTGTAAATTCATCACAGATCTGTCATTAACTCAGGGAACATCGTACTTTATTATTCTGTGCATGTCCATTATTGAATAACACATTACCATTTCTTTGGTGACTAAAATCTTGCAGACTTGTGATCCTCCAATACTTCCACCATTTTCTGCTCTTCTAAGAGGTACTTATTCAAAACAATCAATGTTGTAATGAAACTTATATACTTGTGTTATTGTGTTGGGATTTTTTGAAAGAAAAATGATCTATTTTGGAATACACTTACTTCAATATTTATCCAAAAATATTACTCCCACCATCCCTGAATTATCTTCCAAAATAATCTTCCATTTCCCTTTTTGGCAAAGAATTTGTGGTTCACAACATTTGTTACACATTCTTACACATTTCTCTCTCCTCTGCACAACTCCACCGCACAATACCCACTATCTTAATCCCCGTGTCAAATATACTTTGAAAGATAATTAAGGGATGCAGGGAGTATTTAATATTGCTAAAGGTTTTTTTTTGCATGTTCGTAGAAAGGTTATTGTTTTTTAACTTTACTTTCAAAAGATACCATCTTCCTGGTAGAGTTGGCAGCATGGCTAAGTTCTTAAGAGAGATCATGCTCTATTTAGGATTTGAAAATATTTTCTGATTTAACTATTGTCATTATGCATCACAAGAGCTAAAAATTCCTCAGTTTGAGGGCTCCCATGCTAAATCGCATGATGCAGAATGAAAAATGCCGAATGACTTTAATGAACCAAAGTCATTCCCCTTGCATGTTTGCATCAAAAGTGTCATTAGCGCACACAGATATGAGGTAAAATGGCTTGAACTAATGCTCGCTTATAACTCGTGAAACAATTACAATACGAATATGGAAATTGATACAGATAATATATATTTCCTTACTACAAATCTGGTCATTTAACCCGTTTTTTTAGGCTAAACGATCAGATCTGTATTCTATTATTTATTTCATATCTTCAAATAATTTGCTTTGTATACCAATTTCTAAAGTTGGTATTATTATCGGCCAACAGGTAATAGAGATATATTCAAAGTTATTTTCTCTATATATTACTATTCTATTGTTGTAGATGGTTATGATGCTGGATCGGTGGAAAAATCTGTAAGCAAGTTTGTTAGTTATGGACAGAACAATAAACAAACGGTGGCGGAGCTGTTTTTCACATTCTTACTGAAGGTGTGTTTCTGAGTTCCAACTCTACTTATAGAGTTACTGTTTAATAATGGTATGTTTGGTTCCAGGATTTTGGAGGAAAGTGAGGCAAGAATCCATCCTCCTTTGTAAGAACTTTGGAGGGGATGGGAACAAAAAATGTTTTTGGCCTCCTTTCATTCCTTGTTTTCTATTCCCCCGAATTAAGCAACCCAGTTCCCCTATTAGGCCCTATCTCTCCACATGCTGAGTTTTTTTTGAAATATTAATGATTTCCTGTGCTTTTGTTCTTTTCAGCTGTCATCTGTTGAGGGACTTTGGGCCCAAGGTCTGTGTGCCAGCACTTATGATGGATCTTGGATATTTAAAACATGGGATTGTGGAGTTGGTCGCATTAGTGTAATTGTACTTTGCCTAGTCTATTCCTTCTACTCTATTAGACACACTATGTTTATCCTAGTTAATGGTCATCGCAGGTTGAGGACTTCAGTGACCGAACTCAGAATGTTGCAAGGGCTGTTGGAGTGAAACAAAAGAGAAGAATATACAATTACATCCACCGTTCTATTCGCCTTATTTCTGATTTTTCGAGTGGCAAGGTGGATGGATGGAAATTAAGATATTATTTGTTCGGCCCAGATGAGGCCGCATCGGTATGTGAAGTTACCAAGACTTGCAATGCAAATGTGGCAACACCTAAACCCCCACCTATTTGTACTACTAGAATAGAGGACAAAGATACAAGTGGTCATAATGCAACTGAGCAAACAAGTGTGCATATGGATCAGCGAAACCAGCCTAGTACTAGGAATTGCATTGCAGATGTGACAGGATTTAAACTGTCACCTAGATGTACTACTACTAGAGTATATGACAAAGATACAAGTGGGCAGAAGTTATCTCAACTACCAGGTGAGCATACGGATCGGCCAACAAAGTCTCGTGCTAAGAAACGTAAAGCAAAAGTGGCAAAACGTAAACCACAACCTGGATGTAGTACTAGAGTAGATGATAAAGATACAAGTGGTAAGAAAGAAACTCAACAACCATGTGAGCCTAGGGATCAGCCAACACAGACTATTTCTAAGAATTGCAATGTGAGTGTGGCAAATCCTAAATTGCCACCTGGATGTGCTACTGGAGTAGTGGGAAAAGGTACAAGTGGTCCACAAGCATCTCAGCTACCCGGTGAGCATGAGGATGGGCAAACACAGCCTAGTTCTAAGAAACATGTGAATGCGGCAAAACCTAAACCACCACCTGGAGGCAGTAGTACTAGAATAGACAACAAAGATGCAACTGGTCAAAAAGGAACTCAACAACCAGGTCAGCATCGACCAACACAACCTACTAAGATTTCCAATGTGAATAAGGCGAAACCTAAACTACCACCTGTTCAAAAAGCAAATCTACTACCAAGTCAGCATAGGGATCCGTCAGCACAGCCTAGCCCATCCAACACCACCTTGGGTAAGAGGAAGAGAGGTGGATCATCACCCCCCTCAACTAGATTTTTACAGGAACCTCTTACGCATGGTGAGATGGCAAGTCAAAGGTCTAGGCCTTATGACATGGCAAGGTCTCAACCAGTGGATAACCTCCGTTTTGATGGACCAGGAAGAGCTCAGAGCAGTTGGGATAGAGCAGAACCCACTCTTCCTATCCACCCAAGGGATATGAGGCATACTGGTGAAATGCGCTATCATGAGACTCATAGAACCCCATATATCCACATGGCCACAACTATGGCTACTCAAATGGTCTACCCGAACTATCCTTACAACCAACCTTGTTTTAGACCTCCAAATTTGTCTACTCCAAGTGTTTATCCTATGTCTACTTCTACAGTTAGCCAGATATCATCTCGCTATGCTAGGGAGAGTGATAAAGCCTCAACTTTGACTACTCAAGCGGTCTCCCCTAATTATTCTTACAACCAATCATGTTTTAGAGCTCCAAGTTTTGCTACTCCAGGTGGTTATCCTATGTCTATGCCTATAGTAAACCAGATGGTTTCAAGCCATGCTCATGAGACTTTTAGAGTAGGGAATTTGCCGCTCATTTCTAACACGGCGAGGTATCATCATTCTGGTTCGAGTACGCTGTATAGCACCTACTCTTCGTATCCCCAACTGAACTCTTCCAACCATGAAGCTGCTTGGTTTAGATGAGACCTCTTAAGCGAGAGGTGTTGTTGTAATTCATTCCATCACCAGACATTCTTAATCCCAACAGGGCTACAGTCCATCTATGGCAAATGAAGAGCGAGACTTTTTTGTTGTGGTTGTTGGCTTTAGACCTTCAGCTCCTACTTCAACTGTTTGTCCTTTGCTAGTAGTCTATTTTGTGATTTGCTTTGCTTTAGTGTGAATATGTCAATCTGCATAGATCATTTGAGACATTTTACTATTGAGGTAACTTTCATTTTGCTATAAGTTTGTACTTCGTAATTTCAACTATAATAAGATTTACTTGCATACATTAATAATCATCTGTATATTATTCGGCATGTGTACCGTTATAATAATGTAAGCGATTAAATTACACCTTATACATTAATTTAAGCGAGTCAAATTTTATAGATATGTTACACCCATTGACCATTGAATCTGCCCTAGGGGTGGACCTCGTCGGCGGTCCCGAACTGTCCGGAACCGAGCCTGCTACCGTGCGGAATCGGACTGGGTGGGGACAAATTGGTCCCGGTGTAGGACCTGGTACCCAACCGGGTACTAATAGTGTAATTATAAGGACTCTTATGTAATTACTCTTAATACTAGGGGTGGGCAATTCGGTTTACGGTTCGGTTTTCTTCGGTTTCGGTTCGGTTTCGGTTTATTCGGGTTGGGAGAATTTGTACCAAACTAAAACCATTTGTGTTTCGGTTCGGTTTCGGTTCGGTTCCGATTCGGTTCGGTTTGAAGTTCGGTTTACCAAAGTACAAAACATTATGTTTAATTTAGTTTGATTTGATACGTTTGCTTATGTTTATTATTTTATTTGATTAAGTTCTATATTTCGAATTAGAAAATGAAAGTTGATTAAATCCATCTTATCTTTTTTTTTTTTTTTAATTTATTGATTATTTAAATAAAATGTAAAAGAAAATAAAAGATAGAAAAATAAATAATAAAATATTATAAATTGAAACTTCTAACATCTTTTTTATCACTACAAAAAATTCACTTCTTACAAAAAATAAGATAGTTGATTAGCATTTATAATATCACATAAAATATTCATAAAATCTAAAAGAGTCGGTGGTACAAATGTTGTAATATTCACAATTTTATTCAAATGAATCATGTAAAAATATAAATGCAATTTGCTACTGTTATCGCCACACATTATAAATACAAATATGTCGTATTAGCTAACTTTTTCACAATGATTGTATGTAATGTGTAAAAGTTAAAATGATATGAGTATATGCTTAAATATATGTATTTTCATGTCTAAATTATTTATTTATATCTTAAAAATTAAATGAAGAGTCATGAAGGTAAATACAAAGTGTGTGTGTGTCTGTGTTGTTCGGTTCAGTTTACGGTTTTCCATTTTAAAGCAAACCAAACCAAAGTACCAAAACATTTGGTTTGAACAAATGTTTACCAAACAGTTTACTTAAGTAAACCTAAACCAAACCAAATCAAACCACCAATTTTAATAATATATGAAAGTTTTTTGAGTTTCTTTAGTTCGATTCGGTTTTGTTCGGTTTTTATCGGTTTCGGTTCGGTTCGGTTCGGTTTAATACGGTTTGAAAGAAATAGTACCAAACTCAAACCAAATTGCATACGGTCCGGTTTCGGTTCGGTTTAGTTCGGTTTGGTACGGTTCGGTTCGGTTAAACCAAACCGTTATGCCCACCCCTACTTAATACTCTTTATTATAAATATCATACGAGGGCTACCTATTGGGTAAGCCATTCTGTCACAATTATTCTTTCACAGGTACTAGGCGGTCCCGGTTCCAGTCCCGGCCGGGTTCCAATATTTGGGAACTGGGCGGTTTCGGTCCTAATACACTCAAATCGGATGCTTAGGGACTTGGGAGTTGGGATAGAACATCTAAGGAAGATTTGTTTTTTTATTTATTTAAATATATTTGTGTGTTCCATTAGAGCATTGTTGTGGAATTCATTGTGTTGGGCACCCTGCGTATGAGATCTGGTTGGGTTTTATGTGGAATCTACGTTTTTATAACTCATTTAATTTTAATATTTAAATTAGATTCTGTATATTCTGTACACTTTGGGAATTGGATTTCATTACGAGTATCTTGAAAAAATCGATGTTTTTTTTAGAACATCAATGTATTTTCATCACTGATAAGGCAGCATGATCCAAGTTGTTATTTAGCTCCAAAAATAAAGGCTACTACGAAACATTACAACAATAATGCTTTAATGCTTTAAAAGTGATGGAAAATGCATGACTCCGTTCATAACATGGTTGGATCAAAACAAGAAAGTGATTGAATATGTCGTGGAAGTAACTCAGCTATTTCGTTGAAATTTGCACTAGCTGACTAGCTCTACGTCTTTAAGTTCCATACTTCTATCATGTCTCTGTATCAATATCTCATGCAATTATTGAGACTACATAAAGCATAATTATACTTCAGGCCTATTTTATATATATAATCTTGTGAACTATATCTGAAGGCTAAAACTCTTAGATATATAAATCCAGATTTGATTACCGTCAGTTTTCCAATCACACGAATTCACTACCTCCATTATGATCATCACTCTCTCCATGGGGAACAAGACCTCCCTCACCCCCTTGTCAGATTTAACTCAAGACCGAATGGAGACATCGAGTGAGTTTCACCATCATTGTGAGAACCATCAAAGCCGAGGTGCTTCTTTTGCGAAACGATTATTCATTATTTTCTTTCCATCATTATTTTTAATAGTACTTTAAAATAGTTCAATTGTGTTTTTAAGAGTTCATATGTTAAGATACTATACATCCTCAATTGAAACTTTGTTCATTGTGTTTCAATGATACTCTCTCCCGTGATAGTTGACATCTATCCACCAAGTAGCCCGAGCTTTCTAATTTGGACATTTTTATTTTACAATATAGATCTTCCTAGTCTTCCTTGGCTACATGATTCAAATTGAAATTATTATCACCATCATATATGAGGACTTCTTCCATTATTATACTCCATCCGTCCCGAAAAGGTTCGCCAACTTTGACTTTCACGTGGATTAATAAAGTAAAAACTGTGTGATTGAAATTTGTGCAGAGAGAGAATTAACTTCAACCACATATTTCTTACTTTAAATGAAAATGACAAATCTTTTTGGGACATCCAAAAAAATGAAATTTGGCAACCTTTTCGGGACGGAGGGAGTATATTAATTGCTTAAGAACATGTTATTCAATGTACTAGTGTAAGATCATTAGATGATGTAATTACTGCATTTATTAAATCTATAATGGATTGAGGGGGTTTCAATTCTTTATTGGATTCAATTTTCCTAAAAAATCTTATGTCTAGTACATTGATGTTTGAGCTATTTGGTGTATATATTCATTTTTTGCATCTCACCATTTCTATTTTTTTTCATCTCACCGTTACAAATCTCAACAACAACAAATGCACGAAGTTTCAGAAACTATTGCGAACGGAATTTGACATTATATGCTAATGTTTGAGACGTTAAAGTACCACTAGTGTTTTTTTTTTGTTTTTGAAAATCAATAACTTAATTATTATTGATAAGGGTAACCAGAAACATAACGATCAAAAGCCGAAGCATTGCAATCACAACGTTCAACCCTACACTAGGGTGAGACAAAGAACAAAAAGTCATATAAAAGCTATCATGTTCGCTAACCCTACAATTATGTAGACTCGTCCCGCAATTTCACTGCTCGTGCTACTCGAAATAGGTCCGGTTCGACCAGCCACCGAAAAGGAATTATTAAACTTGCCGGTTTTTCCAGCTACCGGTAAGGAGTCAAGTGCAGAAATTGTTCCGATTTCACCAGCCACCGGAAAAAAAGCAATCCATTCACTCCCATCTTCCTTGATCGGCGATGGTTCAGGAGGGGGGTGATCAACCTCTATATTGATACAGGAGAAATCTTGATTCATGATGAATGGAGAAGCCAATACACATCTCTTACTAACACCCAAGAACACCCGACCGATGATGGTGGGGAATATAAATCTGGCGAACGACACTTCGCCACAAAAAATAATATCTCTAGACAACGCTAGGAAATAGACGTACACATAGAACTGAAAATATTGATCTAACGAAACTTTTTTCATGATTGGGGTCAAAAGAAGATTGAAAGAAGAGAGGAAAAGAAGAGGAGGCGGCTAGGGTTTCCCCTTTGCCGCTCCTCTCTCAAAGATCACGAGATCGCTGTCAATAAGCATTCTTAAATGAAGTGATGTTTTAAAGTACCACTAGTGCTATGTATTAATTTTTCAAGAAAAGTAGTCTCTTATGAAAAGAATGTTACTTATTAAGTTTTGTTCTTGGATTATCATTTACATAAACATTTCTTCTTATTTTAAATGTTTATAATTACGAGTACTTTATATTTTATTACACACACATATTATTTTTTAGTCGTGTTAGGTAATATTTGTCATTTTTTTCACCTTTGGGTTTATCAAGTTTCAATTTCTCAATGTATATTTTTACTTTATGGTTTCCAAACTCGAAATTGAAAATAAATAAAATTTGGAAAGCATGTGTTGAAATAGAAAACTAAAAAATGAAAAACAGAAAGTACAAAATAAGTAAAATGTTTTTAAATTAAATTACAAAATAAGTAAAGTGTCATGTTTCTCTATTTTCTAATTTTAGTTGTCTCTCACTAACCGAGAACTGATGGAAATGTCCAAATTCTCATTCACAAATCACAAATTTCATTTTTTTAAAAAAAAAATCACAATTTCACATTCCATGTTTTGATTTCCAAATATGTAATCCCACCCTTTTAATTTAATTGCCATTAAAAAAAGTCTCCTCCAAAGTCCAAACGCCCCTTGAAATAAAGTAAAGGCTTCCGTAAACATGGTGGACAAGCCTATTGAGATGTCCGTCTAGCATGCCTTTTCCGTGTGGGAAATATAAAATCCGATGCACATACAATACGCATGAGAGGAATTGGTAGCAAAGCATGGGGGAAATGATGCTGCAGTGGAGTGCGATTCGATCCATAATCGCCATCCTTCAATGGTGGTTCTTCAATGTCGCAGTAATCATCATGAACAAGTGGATCTTCCAGGTCTATTTCTCACACACACACACTCTCGTGCATGTATAACAGTGCCCAAATCTCAATCTTTGGTTTGTTCTTCTGATGTTTCAATTATTAGATCATAAATTATTGATTTACTTCACTTTAAAGTTTTTCTTTAACTATTCCTTTCCATATTCATCTGAAAAATGCATTGGCTTAACACTCACAAACGCGCGTAAATGTGTATGTACATGAAATGTGTAAATTCTATACCTAGCAATCTAATAAATTTTGAGTTCTGAATTCTGATGTCAACTTTGGGTTTGATCTATAAAGCTATCCGACACAATCGTCAAAATTTGCAAACAAAATCTCGAAAATGACAAGTGAAAGAATATGGATTGTGGATATCTTTTCATGGGGAGCTTTAGAGTGTGTGACTGCTTTCATTGTTTATCTTCTGTGAAGAAATCAAACATTGTTTGCAATTATTCGTGCTCCTTAGTTATTCCTAATTCAATGCTAGTCACTCATTACTTTAATGCATTCTTGGACTATTTTGCCCATAATATTTTCTGGGAAGTTATTTATAGAACATTTCCAGATGTTCCCGGATCGGCAAAATTGTTTCTTTAGGAATATTCTGAGAAGAAAAGCGCATTGTCTATACTATGTTTAATTGCACTATTTTGACTTAGAAAATGCATAATTCCATTGTTGGTTCATGGAAGTGGATCATACTAATAGTATGAAATATGATATCCATACAAAGTGTATCACAAAAAATTCAATCTTGACTTTACCATTTTAAGAACGCCCAAAGAATTGTGTTTTCCCTATACAAGTACCATCTAGCTCTGAAGAATACATTTTAGCCCACAACACGTAATCCATAACTCATCTTGATTCATAAAAACTTCATTTTATGCCCACCACCAACTATCAGGTAGAAGAAACATTCTGATTGGCTCCTCCAGAAATGATAGAGTGGTAATTATATAAATGTCATTTCTCCACTCATAACCTAACCTTTTTGGGTAGGACAAGAGCTTTGATTAGTATCATGATAAAAGAACGTGTCATTGTTTCTTATATTGAGATTCAAGACCACGCCACCTATAGGCTGGATTAAGGTGTCATACCCCCAGAAGGTGTTTTACCTAATACTGATAGGAGTGATAGCTTCGAACAACGGCTCTTAAATGGTTTGGCAATGTTACAAGTCCCACATCAACTCCTTCAGAAATGAGGGTGTGTTACTTACGTCGATGCTAAGCATCCACTCTTGGATTAGCTTTTGTAGTGAAGTAGAGGATGGGTCTTGGTATCCTGATGTGAGTAAGTATCACATTGTTGATCTGAGGTTCTGCCGTGCTCGACCATATTGTGTCAATTGTAGTTTCTTGAATTGTATGGCAATGTTACATGTCCCACATCAACTCCTTCAGAAATGAGTGTGTGGTACTTCCATCGATGCTAAGCTCCCCTCTTAGATTAGCTTTTGTAGTGGAGTAGGGATGGGTCTTGGTATTCTGATGCAAGTATCACATTGTTGATCTGAGGTTCTGCCATGCTTAGCCATTTTGTACCAATTGTAGTTTTGTAAACCCTCTCTAGTTTTGTATGTTAGTGTGACAAACATTCCTGTTTATCGTTAGTCCGTTACAACAATTTGCTTATGTAAGTGGTATCCCACGGAACTAACTCAATGCATCACATTTTTATAGTTGGTTTAGTAATAAACTAATAATGAAATTCATTTATTTGAACACTCATGTGTTAGCGATTTTGTATTCTTTGCCCCCTTTCTAGCAGTGTACTTATTTTGTTCATTGTGTTAACCTGTGACAGAAGCTGGATTTTAAGTTTCCTCTCACAGTATCTTGCACACACTTTATTTGCTCGGCTATTGGGGCATATTTAGTAATTAAAGTCCTAAAGCTAAAGCCACTTATTGTTGTTGACCCTGAGGATCGCTGGAGAAGGATTTTTCCCATGTCAGTTGTGTTCTGTATCAACATTGTTTTGGGGAATGTGAGTTTGAGATACATTCCTGTTTCCTTTATGCAAACCATAAAGTCATTTACCCCTGCAACAACAGGTGACTGTTTCTAATGATTATTTTTGTGATGTTATTATCATCATTTGCACCCCTCGGCAATATCTACTTCATATTTCATTATCTTGTCCATTTGTTACCTCTAATTGCACCATGCTTGATACAGTCATTTTGCAGTGGCTAGTATGGGGAAAACACTTTGACAGGAGAATATGGGCTTCTTTGATTCCTATTGTTGGAGGAATTCTCCTAACTTCTATCACTGAGCTTAGTTTCAACGTATTTGGATTTTGTGCTGCATTAGTTGGCTGTCTTGCTACTTCTACCAAAACTATTCTCGCAGAGTCATTGCTGCATGGCTACAAGTTTGACAGGTCTTCACTCCCTCTCTCTCATGTGTGTGCGAGTGATTAATAGTTAATACAATCTTTTTACCTCCCAGAAGCGCTGTTTTCATTAAAGCAAGTTTCTATGATTTTTCTGTTAAAATATTGCCTTTAGCAGGGTCTTGTTTAAAACAAGTTTCTATGATTTTTTGTTTAAATACTGCCTTTAGCAGGGTCTTGGTTAAAAGTATATTCCCATAGTTACTATGTTTTCTAATGATGTTTATCAATTTGAAGGAAACAAAGGTAAAGTGGCATACTAGCTTAGGATAAAGAAGGGACATCAAGACTTTACCAATATGTATAACAATAAGAAGTTTCAGATTTTTAAGGAAAATTAATCTTCAGGCATTGCAGTCCTTTTTTTCCTTAAAGGAAGCCCATATACTATTATTTCAACAAATTCTACATTTCTTAAAATATCCATAAAAACAAGGGAAAATCGCACTTTCAGTCCCTCAAATAGGCACCATATTGAAATGTCAGACTTGTATTCCCAAGTTTGTAAATGTCACCCCTCAATTGTCCAAATTGATGTAAATGTGGTCCTTTTAGGGGTGAAATGTACTCCTCGCCCACATTGTACATTTCACCCCTAAAGGACCACATTTACCACGATTTGGACAATTGAGGGGTGACATTTACAAACTTGGGAATACGGGTCTGACATTTCAATATGGTGACTATTACAGGGACTAAAAGTGCGATTTTCCCTAAAAACAATTCTACTTCAAGTACTTTCTTACATTTCCTTAGATGATAACAACAAATTCAGGGATGGTGTGTGTAGAGTAATCAATTCAACTTATGTTGAAAGAAGTATTAGCTTGGTACTTTGGTGTCCATAATGGATTTAATGAAGCTCTGGCATTTTTCAGTTACCTATGTTTAGTGTCTGTTTTGCCTTCATATAATGTAGCTTCTGATTACCCTAATATCTGATTCAAATTTGAAAAACAAGCAATAGTGCAGCTTTTCCCCCTATCATTCTATCATTGAGTGTTATTTATGGATGAGACTTTCACAAAGAGAGACTACACTTCATGATATTAGATCTTTGCATTCATGGATGATAACTTGGGCATTTTATGAAGAATTTAAAGTGAAAAGGAGTGCATATGAATATCAATGAAACGGCTTCTGCTTTAATTACCCATTGACTTCTTAATTTGCAGCTTCCAAATTTTTGTTCTTTGTGTTGCTTTGTACCTTTCAACTTTTTTCACGAAGTGCAATATAACATCATACCTACACACAAACTGTAGAGGCTATGGTACCTGATTTATTCTCCGTCCCTTACTCTATAATCTCCGTCAAATGATAGAGTTTGAAATGATCACCTTTTATCTGATTTTCTTTTCTTTTTTATCTGATTTTCTTCTTTGTTAATGATAACTGTTCAGCATTTGCTAACCCCACTTTACTTTACTCTAGCATAAATACGGTATTCTACATGGCTCCTTTTGCTACCATGATCTTGGCATTACCAGCCTTACTATTAGAAGGACCGGGGGTTATTGAATGGTTAAACACTCACCCCTCGCTTTTTTCATCGTCTGTTATCATATTTGGCTCCGGTGTGCTGGCATTTTGTCTGAATTTCTCCATCTTCTATGTCATCCACTCTACAACTGCTGTCACTTTTAATGTTGCAGGAAACCTCAAGGTAAAAATCTATTATCTATTCTCCTATTGCAATGCTTTCTGTGCATAATGAACTACACATGAGTACATAATTGCATGCTAACTTAATTGAAGCTTTCCATATCTTGTATTTATCCGAGATAATAACCTATAGGTGTTGTTGATTATCAATTTTAGCTTATATCACTTCGGTTTGATGTCCAAAATATTGAATGAGAGCCACTGTTTAAAATACTCAAAACAACTTCTAAGGCTGTGCTGAGGTTGTG